CACCTCTTTGCCCTCATATGACCTTATGCAGTTGCGAGTGCCACCCCCCCCCCTCTTTTACCGTTCTTTTAGTGGCCTACATGGCGCCTTCCGTAGTGAACCGGAGTTACGTCAGATTGCGTACTCTTGGAAATTACATATAAGTCTATGCTTTCAGCTTACAACAGGTTACTGTTAGGAGATACATGAAAACTAAAAGTAGGCTATTCTGCTAGCCACTAACAGCAGACGAATAGTACACACGCATGCACACACCCAACACACACATAAACACACTTACACACACACACACACACACACACACACACACACACACACACACACACACACACACACACACACACACACACATACACGGCACGCGCGCTTATAGCTGTGGCGACTCAAGTAGGGTTCTTGTCCTCCTCATTCATTGGACACAGCACCTATTCCCGACCAGTTGTTCACCATCACTGTAGTGCAGTTGATTCCGAACTTGACCAACGTGTTGAAGTTTAAGGTCAAGTTCGTCTGTGGTTTCCACTCTCTCTCTCTCTCTCTCCTCCCCCTTACCTGGAATTTCCCCCGTCAAGTCTCAGTGCCCTGCAAGGGACCAGACAAGGCACCCTATCCACTGTAGAACCAGTTTCGTGTCATATTTAATTTTAGAAAAGAAATAACGGAATAAATGGAAAAAAATCATCGAGCTATTTTTATTTCATACCTCACTTGATACAACGTGGCTTTTTTAAAGACAGTGCACTTAGTCAGGACAGAGGGGTGAGATGAGATGGTATATTTTAGGAAGAACAACCGAACCACCCCCCCCCTTAAAAGAAAAAAAAAGAAAAAGAAAATTGGACTCAAGTCCCCAAGTAGCAAACCTCAGACTTTGAAGAGACGGATCACCTTACAGTAGCCCATGCATCAACTCCCTCTCCCCCAACAGAAAACAACCCCAAATAGTACATAAATAGATAGATACGTAGGTAAATGAGTAAATAATGATTTAACACTCCCC